AAAAAAACAGCTCTGATATATTCAAAACAATAGGAGACTCTCAATATGTCGATGACAGCATAGCGATTAGCAAATACATTTGTAGTCGAACAAAATAAGCTTACTAAATGTATAAACACAAAAAGATTATAATGACCAACAAAAAATCATATCATCATATATGAAACAAGGACAAGAAAATAAAGAAAGTAGAGAAGTGAACAGAGTGGCCAAGTGAGGAGCACAAAATTGATAAGAAAGGCTAGCACATATACAACACATAAGAGAAGTTCTACCGCGCTAAATGATACAATTAGAAATTTATCTGAGCATTCAATGTTATTCGGCAGATTTGTTACTCATTCAGCAAGATTATCACGTAAGTAGCGGTGATTTGAGCCATTTCATTTTAGGGGGCCTTGTCAAGGCTATGCACCTCGAACTCAATGATGAGGTGCGAGCAGGGATGCACAGTTCTGTTTGTACCTGGTATACTCACACTGTATGCTAGATAAGGTCAATATTACTCTAGGTCATGCTGAAAAGCTAGGGTTGTCTGGAAGTACTGGAAACGCTTCAATGATATTTGGTTTTATGCCGAGGTGGTGGGGGACCGTTGAAGGGCATCATAGCTCCCGGGGGTGGTGGGCCCATAGGACCCATCGGAGGTCCCATAGGCATAGGGGGGCCGTAACGTTGGCCCATGGGAGGAGGGAACAGTGGAGGTGGTCCTACCCAGCCTGGAGGTACGAAGGGCGTGGCTGGGGTGGGTGAAGGGGCTTCACCTCGGAGGAAACGCGACAGCTCCTGCTCCGTGTCGACGATCATCACCAGGAAAGGACTTCCAGGCACATGTTCGCCATGCCATTTCACTTCGACCTGAAAACGATATCAGAATATTTTATCAGCATAAGAAAACTCCTTTTACAGCTGCAACCCTTTGTCGTGACCCTCCTCCACTTCTCTCTCAAGCAGCTAAGGCTTTCTGCCAACCAAAAACTCAATCTCTCCTTTTCAAAAGTTTGAGTTCCTCCTTAATTCTTACCTGATAATCTCCAGGCTCCTTTGGCTCGTACTTGCAGTGGATTGTCCGCTCATTCTTCTTTTCCCTCTATAAATATGCGTGATCAACCCGTATAGTTATAACTCCATAGTAAAGATGCACAAACCTGCATTTCAACATTGAATGCGCCTTTAGGACCACGCACTCGAACAGTCAGCTGACCAGCTCCTGCACCCCGAGTCTCAACGACGAAATTTGACTTGAACCTGCAAAAAAGTGAGCACATAGACTGCCTTCGCAGGAATGTTGATAGACTCACATGCTCAGAATTCCGTGTTCAATTCCAGGTCCGTACACGCGAACTTTGGAAGGATCTGGAGGTAGCGACACATGAATAAGGAAAGGACTGCCCCGTACGTGTTGATCATTGTATTTGATGACCAGCGTGTGCTTTCCAACCTAGAATATGGCATATAAACGTAACATTTGTGCCAGAAAGGAGTTGAGCGTTTATACCTCAGTTGGCCTAACACTTAAAGTATAAGTGCCATCTCTATGGTCGTACAACTCGCAATACGCCAACTTCACTGGTCCCATACATTGCGCTGATAGTTGCCCTGGAAGCAGAAAATTTCCTTGTTTGGAGTTGCCGGAAATTCAAAGGCAGGAGCAGAATGACAGCTTTGGGATATTCATCGTT